CATTTCTCTAACCTTTTCTACCAATAACAAGGTCAAACAACCTCTCTACAACGAGAGTAGATAGCGACCACACAAAAGTTCACACCATTTTGGTCTTCATACTAACGGAAGTTTTTATTGCAAACCAACACACATGCAAATATATGCTCAGCTCTCATTCACTTGCTTAATTTTGTCTTCTCCATCTGGCTTTTTTGTCTATTTCCGAATTGTCTTGATCCGCTTTCACCCGTTCAGAAGCAGGCAATGGGCGATGGCGACGACGCAGATCGTCCCTGGAGAATATGAACGACATCTCCATTCCGCTGGGCCAGCCACCTCTGGTCGTCTACAACAACCACGCAGGCACCCCAAACATGGCAACCAGCGGCAGCTACAGTGGCAGTGGCAGCAGCAGTAGTGGATACGCCAGAGTGCCGGTCAATCATCATTCCTATGCTCAACCGTACCCTCCGACGGTGGTCAACCGGCCCGATCAGTTGGCGCCTCCGCACACGCCCGACCGAGACGCACGAGATGCGGCCGGATGGGCGATGGGTGTTGCGCATCGCGAGGCCTACGAGCCCAAGGCCAGATCTGCACCGTTGGCCTGCAATACACCGTCTCTGGAAGAGGCACCAGCGCCGACGAAGACGACTCACGAGGCCGCCAGTGCTCAAGCCCGAGCCGGAATGGCTTGTGGAGCTGCGCCAAGGCGGCTGCACGCCTCGTTCAAGGAGACGAGTGACGAGGCCGGCTGGCCGATGGAGACTGGGCTGGAAGGGTCGCCGAGTAAACGGCTTAAGAGAGCGATTCTGCCAAAAATCGGTAGGCAGGCAACCGTGACCAGGATCGGTCGACAGGCGGGCGACTACGAGCAAGAGCAGAGGCTGGCCACTGCTGCGGCAAATGCTGTGACAAGGTCGGGCCGAGGAGGGAATGATGATGATGATGATGATGATGACGACTACGAGGAGGACAGCGATTTGAAGCAAGGGGCCAGAGGGAGTGGTGAGAGGTTCGGTGGCGAATTGGCCACTTTGAAGGCTGTGGCGGCGCTGGCAGCAGCGACTGGAGGCTTCACAAACACCGACAATGTCAAGGCACAGATCGGAGGTGAGTGGTGCAAAAACCGAGCCTTCAGCTCGTTGTCTCGATTAGGCTTTCTCACTCAACCCGAAAGTATAGAGTCAGTTTTGGGTGAAATCTCTAAATCAAACAGACTCGCTTTTGAGGTGAGATGCCAGTTTCATCAGCCTCCCTCCTTCCCAACGGGTTGGGGAGCCGGATCGTGAATATTGTGATGACACATTTCCACTCTGCTGCCTAGCAACCGATGCCTTTCAAGGCAGGCCAGGCCATTTGCATTTGGCATTTATTGTTGGATTTTCGATGTGCGAGTGGGAGGATGTAGATTTCGAAACTAGCCATAATTCGTAAATAAGAAGTTATTCCTTCTGGGACTGAGTGAAATGCTATGGCATCGTGAGTCCATAAACCGGCTTCAACGACCAAATTGGTATTCCAGTAGAATTCACCTTTTGCTCACAAGTGACCATCAAACAGGGACATCTGTTTGGCTGCTTGGCTTATCCAGAATGCAGCCTCAGATGCAATTTTAGTCGTGGATTGCGCAAGATTGTGTTTTTGCCGCTATTAGAATACATTCAACAGACTCTCAGGGATTTCCGGCTAGGCTAAGGAGGCTCCAGTTGGCGTGAATGCATCCAGCTCGGTTATAGAATATATTACGGGAATTATTACAGAATTCATTGCTCTTCTCTTTACTATTCTATCACCCCCATCGGTTTCGATGATTTTGTTGACACTGATCTATTACCATCGAAGAGACAATTGCATTTTTTCTGTACTAAATGCCAGTGCTGCCAAACTGGGCATGCAACTTTAGTCGCTAACTCCTTTGGAGACGGGCGGGACGCAGGAAGTGAACTCATATTATGCCAGCCAACCGAGGTTTTCGGCTGTTACTCATATTCCTGTTAATGCCTACAGTGTCTGGCCGTTACAGTGTGGAACTCGAAATATAGGTTTTGAGGTATTTTTGATTATAATTCTGAAAGTGGACCTCTGTAGGAAAGAGCTACCTTCACCTGTTTGCCTTGAGATCTGACTTGATCTTGCAGCAAAACTTCACTTCTTCAGAGAGCATTTATTTATCAACTATGCCAAAAACTCTTTGCCTTGAGGTTTGACATGTACAGACGCCATTATAATAGACATTCGCTTCTTCGATTAGCATTAAACTATCCCATGGGCTAGCAAACATTTTGAGATTTTCTATTAATGGGAATATTGCTGCTCACGAAAGCCAGGAAAAAGGTGGATATTGTAATTAGTTAGCCTCACTATACTTCCAGAGACACTTACATACTTACAGCTTTTATAAATGCACCTTGCAGGCTATCCGAAAACCTGTTGATCAAATGGCTTAATGATAAATAGACCTATTATATGCGTAATTATTTGAATTTTAAAATAATTTCACAATTAAATGTAGTTTACACTTTACTTTTGTTCACTGGGTTGTTAATAGCTCAAAAGTCAGGTCACCTTTAGCTAGCTTATGCACTTTGAGCTTTCGATAGCCCAATTGTATTGGACATTTGCATCATTAGCTCATCTCAAAATGTGTAAAGCGTCT